GCCACTTCTGTGACGTCATAGAAGTGTTCAAATCTGGATCAGTCTGTATCAGATCCGTTGCAGCCCCTTTTTAAGAGATTTGGGTATGGAGGAAAAGAGAGAGGGTTGTGTTTTCTGACACTTGGTGAGTTCCCTGGAACACCGGGGACACACATTCATGTATAAAAGACGTACAAAAGTGCATTTTGCATGATAGGTCCCCTTTAAATGTGTATCATTTTACTATTTCACCCTAATGTGTGAGACAAATGCACTGTTGAATTCAGATGGATTTTAAATTCCTGTGAGCTTTTTAATCGGTCATCAAATCAATCCAAGTGATCCTAATGATATTGTTCACTTCTGTAGTCATGCAGTAGACACAGTAGTTGTCAAGTGGATTTGCTCGCTCACGCTTTTTAGCTATCATTCTAGCTGTGGACGCCCTTTAAACCTCGCAGGCAAGCAAACAGCAGACCCTCCTACCTTCCTGTAAGCTGGTCTGCAGATGGTTGATAATGGCACTTAGGATGGTACCAACATTCATGACGTTGGAGCACTGAGCCAGACCGAGGGCGAACAGCTCATTCCAGCAGGCTTTCATTAAGTTAATGTCATTATCTTGACCGCTGTAAAAAAAAAAAGAAGGAATTAATTGAACTGTATGGCCACATTACGGAAAGCGCACATTTAACTGTCATCTTATAACTGACAGGTTAATGAATGAAGTAAAAAGGTGTCATCAGACAATGAAAGGAAATATGACGAAGGCTTACCCGAGGGTTTGAAAGGCAGGGATGGAGCGTGCCCAGTGCATAGAGAGAAAAAGTAGCCGGGAAGCTGACTCACAGATGTAGTTGACATTGAGGTACTCTGGCACAGGCAAAGGCATCATAAGCTGTAGAAACACATTAGAGAATAAACATCACTGTGGTGTTAGCCAGAGTTTGATTTTAAAATGTGCACTCAGTCGAACATAAGCAGCGGTTTTTAGTCTCAGTTGGATTTCACCCTGAGGCTAGAGGTCAGTGTCCGCTGTGGTTTTACCTTGAAAGGGATATGGCTGTCAGAGAGTATCGGCCCCTCCAGCTCCACCACAGGACCCGACTGGTCCCCTGACATCAGCTGCATGGTGGCCTCCAGGGACTCTCCTGCCGAGCCGTCAGTCGGGTGCAGGACTTTGGCCAGAGTGTCAAAAGCTCTAATAAAATGAAGATAAAAAAGTTAACATAAAAACATTTAGACATCAATTCTATTTGAGCTTACATGGAAACAACAACAAAGGATAGAACTCAAAGCAGCACTGTAGTGCACCCATGACATGTTGTTTATTTTTAAATAACTGTGGGTGAATCTAATTAAGTCCTAAAGAGCGGAGTCAGAAACCACATGGCCCTGCAGGAAATTCTATTAAAGCTTTGTAACAAACAGAGAACAACAGCCCCCGGGTTTCTTTCTAGTGCTCACGTCTTACAACTTATTCAGAAACTGGTCAGTAACAGAGCCTCTTGATTCTGTATGACATCTCCCTCACCGAGTAATATCACTTGCAGTTTGCTCATCTGCCTGGAGGTCTGTCATGGAGCTGTCCCCGTTGCTAAGCGTATCATCTCCCATCATGTCGTTGCAGCTGTCATTCGCTTCCCTGGCCTTGTTGAGGTGGGCGAGGGACGTCACTACATTTGCCAGCGTGCCGAGGTCACCATGAGACGGGTCATCCTGCAAAAAGGGAATATTTTTTAGTTAACAAAACATTGGTGGTTATCACTGAACTACTTCAAGAAAGAATAACCAAAACAAAACTGGTTTACATCATACAGAAGTTTAGACACATGCAGCTTCAATGAGCAAGCAAATACTCATTTCTTAAATATAAGTCAAATCGGCTGAATCTATACTAATATTTAGGAATTGTTAGGTAGGAATGACATGTTGGACTGTGTTACCTTGTCGGGGGATGCTGGAATCAAGATTGTGTTTTCCATCTTGCAGAACGGTTGCTGGATGTTGAGCAACATGCTTGACTCAAGCAAACTTGTAGACCTGAAGTTGGAAAAGACACATTTCACATTGCATTATTTAATATATAACCATGCAATATGAGTAAGTTATAACTCAAACTCTCATCAGTTGATTAGTTACATGTGTACAGTCTCATTCAATCCAATCCAATGTAACAAAATCCTATCTTTACGAATCCTATGTCAGATAAAGACAATGAGATAGAAAGATGCCAAGTCAACCCTACAGACATTTTTGAGACTGTGGTTAGTAATGGGGTTGGATTGAACTACAAGATATTGTGAGTTTTTTATTTTACATTTATTCTGCGAATGGATATACCAAAATAGAGCAAGGGAAATTGAGTAAAGCTGTGCCAGATCATGCAGTGGAAATGCGGCACAATTAACAACAAAAATAATGCGTGAAGTGTGTGTACAAATGTTTTGAGAAGTGTGTGTACCTGGCGTCATGTTTTATGAAGTGTGTGTACCTGGCGGTCTCCTTGTCGGACATGAAGGTAGTCGTGGCAGCCAGAGGGCTGCACAGGTTTTTGCGGATGTAGATTTTCTCAGTGGAGGCTGCACAGTTGACAGATTTCTCTCTGGTGTTCACTTCAACAGGTTTCCTCTCACACTGCACAGCTAGAGACAAAACAAAGTAATCAGAGTCAAACATCCTATAAGTGAGAACTTAATAGGTGCTTTCACACGGGAGTACTTTCCCCCCGAACTAGGCCGATAAGGGGGGGGAGATTTGGTTTCACACCAAAAAGGATCTGGAACAAGTCCCTAGTTCGCGCGAACCTTTTCACCCCCAGATAGTCCCTGCTAGCGAGGTAGTACTTTCCTGAGGAGGAAATGGTTCGTGGGTGTGTCGGCCACACTAATCACTTCTGATTGGCTGGGCGAATTGCAAACCACGCCCCTTAAAACTCCGAAAAAGTTTTGTGAACCCAAAGCAGAAGAAGGAGAAGTGACGTCAGCGGCTTCATTTGCCTAATCCTCCCTCAGGGACTTATTCCGGTGAGAACGTGATCTACTAGGACAGTTCGAGGGACTAAAGAGTTCGGGGGGAACAAGTACCGGCTAAGTACTTGGTGTGAAAGCGGCTAAAGTGTTAACTTAAACTGTAAATAGAGTATTTTACTCTTACAGTCCTGTTTCATGCCCAGCGATATGCAGCGCTGCAGGCGACAGTACTGGCAGCGGTTTCGGTGGAGCTTGTTGATGGCACACTCTCCGGAGCCTCTGCACGTATACACCAGGTTCTTTCTAATGCTGCGTTTGAAGAAACCCTTACAGCCCTCACAGCTGACAGCCCCGTAATGGCGCCCTGAGAGAGGAAAGACAAAACAGGGTCAAGTTGGAAAATCTTTGCTCACTACTGAAAACAATTGTAATGTTAAAGAAGGTTCAACTTAATTCCTACCAGAGGCCTTGTCCCCACAGACAACGCAGTACTCCACAACCGGTTTCCCAAGAGACTGGTCTGACCCTTCAGTCACAAACTGAAAAACAAATTAAAACAAAGTTAAATACAGCACATATTACATTAGGTTTGGAAATATTACATGTCTGTTCTTTAGTGATCAGACCTTTCAGTAACTTGTTTATTACAATTGGAATAAAACTAATATTTCCTGGATATACCTGAATCTGCTGCCCAGCCAGATCAGGGGAGGCGAACAACAGGTGGTTGATCCCAGAGCCGTCTTGAGAGGAGAGGATGACTTTGTTGGCAGAGCCCTCCTGCTTGGCAAGGATCACTTTCCCTGCAGAGTGGTAGTCAGTGTTTGCTAAAATATACTGCTGTTTTCCAGGGGAAGACGGCTCAAGTGCTGTGACGATCTGGATCTTCTGACCAGTCTGCTGATCAGTTACAATCTGTAAGGAAAAAAAAAAGGAAAACATGAGTGATTGTTGACTTTATGCAGAAAGAGAAGTTAAGCTAATCATATGATAAAGAATAGGATTTGTATTTATGCAAACAGAATGCATGTCATTGGGGGACTAAGGATATTTTGCAAATTCGAAACAGTGTTATGTTTTTCTGTCAGCTGTTTGACGGGATCTTTGAAAGAAAACAAGATGATCATTCTTCACCTGTATTCTGTGTCCTAATGCCATGTTGCTGTCTGCCGACACAAGTTGAATCCTTTGAGTCTGCCCATCCATTCTGATACTGCGTACACCTTCTACTGTTCTTCACATCAGTGCCACATGAGGCATTCACACCTGTCGAGAGAACATATGCTTTACTTTCTTTAAAGTAATTCCTTCAAGAATAAGGCTGAGTTTATTCTCTTTCTTTTGAAAGTGGTTGTTAACAAGCAGTCCTATTTGTAACATTTCAAGAGTCCCTACATGTGTTTTTAGGAACAGATTTGTAACACAGCTGTCCTAGTTAGTATTTTCTACAGATGGACAGTATATGTGGGATTGCTGCAACATAATATATAGTGGCCATGTTCAAAGTAATGTTGGAACATGTCATCCAGTACAAGTGTGGAGCTCTATATTTGCAATGGTTCTGGGTAACATAAAACTAACTGGAGGGATAAGCTCTATCACGGAATACTGACAATACTCATTAATAACATCATCAATGAACTGTCGGTGTTGGTCTTTCATATAAATGTGTTAATATAAGAAACATATGGAAAAACATCAATTTTGTTGAGTAGATCTTTGAGTTCTGTGTGTAAACATGATACCCGTAGGACATCTCTTAAAACTTTTACCACATGTGCAAATATCATGTCTTATGTACCGATGTGTATTGGAGCACCACGGATCTCAATCTCAATAGTTTGAATTACATAAACTGTATCATATCTCAGATATGTTATTAAAAGCGAGAAAACACGTAACTATAATGCTACTACCCTTTATGCTCCTGCTTTAGTTCCCCGTTACCTCTCCCTTTAACTTTTATATATCTCTGGACTAAACGTGATTGATGCTTCTTAACGGTGTTAACGTGGCTTGCAATCCTCCGTAATGAACGATAATGTGAAATAATATCATCTGATTTATGGTATTGCGTGCTACTAACTAATGTTAGTTCGTGGCCTATGCTAACCGCTAGCTCGAAACTGTACTATTGATGGCCTGACAAAATATGGCATAATATGAATGTTAAATGACAACGAATGAGCGGTAAAGGTGCAGTATTAACACAAACAAGCTCCTGACAGCCAGCTACGTAAAATCGATACGGAAGATAAAGGTATTTCTTTTCCTGTGGGTGAAAGGTCAAAATTGAAGGGTTAAAGCATGATAGGGTTCAAGGCCCATGATGCTCAATCGCAGAGTCAGCGGAGGGACCTCGCGTTTTACAAATGGGCAAAAACCGCACAAATTCTTGCACTGGATATCAACATCTATCATCAATTTAACAAGATATCTCATGGGTTAACACTACGATGAGCTGTTGTCACACTCAGACTTTCTTTTAACGATGTGGCTGCTTGGTTTGCGGATGCTAGTTAGCAATTGCTAACGCAGCAGCTAACATGAGCTAACGGTAACACAGCTAGCTGACGGGGATAAGCTTGTTAGCTTGTTGGCTAACTAGCTTGTTTGTTTGCAACATTACTGCTTCAAATTAGCTACACACTAACATATAACGTTACCTACATACATACTAATGCAGACGCGTACAAATACCAACACTATTACATACCTGCCTATTTTAGTTTCGAAGCTCTGTGCTCCGGACGACAGTGCTAACGAGCTAGGATAGCTGTTTGCTAACCGGTAATGGTTGCTTCCCTGCTGCAGACCTACTGAACACTCCCTCCCTTCCTGTGTTACTGGCCACTCGTGTCTGGTTCTTGAACATCGCATGCATCCACATTAGTAAACATGTCTTACCTGCCAATTAGCTGTTGTGTCAGATTATGTATAAGTCCTCAATATATTAATATTTTAACTGTTTGTTGCAGTTAGTGGGAGGGTCAGAGTTCGTGACCTTTTTCCATCAATAAACGATTCACGCACATGCGCAGTTGGGTGGCAGAGGCTCCTAGCCTATGTGTGTATGTCTATATATACTGTCTATGGTGTGTATGTGAGAGCATACAGTATATGGTGTCAACCTGTACAAATGTTGTTGTCAATCACAGGAGTACTCCTGTGATTTAAAAAAAACAAAAACATTTTAACAGGTTGACACCATATCACAGTGTATGAATACCTTTTGTGTGTTATGTTCAAAAATATAACTTATGGTTCCACAAACTCTTACTTGGCAGTTGTTGAAGCTTACTCAGAATAATGTGTATTTTGTTTTGATAATTGGCTATATAATTGGATATAATAGTATGAAAACAGTTGTCAAGAAGACAGGCTTTGTTTAAAGTTGTAAAATTGTTATTACCATAACAAAATGCACAATCAAACAAACATGCATTACAGTGACATCATTAAAATAATAACAGTGAGATTCAGGGGACATTTGATTAAGTTTAATTTACAATCCTCTATATTTACAGAAAAATGCTTGTAGGGATTGAATACATGTACAGCCATTTGAATTACAAATGCAATAAACATGGTACACTTATGCCCATACAGACAACAACCCCCTGATACACCAGTAAGAATGTAGGTTGTAGAGAGGGTTAATAATGAGTGCACACTGTGTGCTCAACAGTCAGACACATGCTGGTGTGAAATAAAGTAATTATTACTATACAACAAGGAACATCTACACATATTGCAGGGTTTGTTTTGAGCTCTAAAATTCATTACAAATCTATTTACAATGGGCTTTATTAACAGATATCTGCTGGAGATCCAAGCAGGTTACTAAAATAATTATACAAAATGGGTAAAAAGTCTAAAAAAAAGATTCACATGGAGCGACTTATGATTCCTAATTTTTATCCAAAACTGTATATATCCTGGTGGCAAAGATTTAAATTTAAATATAAAACTAACATGGCTATGTCCTACTCTATGGTTAATAAAAGCAATACAAATAATGTATTTAGGTTGCATTTCAGTGCAACTAATATGATGTCTCTATAGTCGGAGAGCACTGAGGTAAACACTGTCAACCAATGTTAGAGCACCGTAGCTTCTTTAAATGTGTCGATCCATCTGTTAAAGAAAAAAAAATAGTTATTAGTGTTATTAATTTCATACCCATGTGCTACAATAAGTGGCACAACTCTTTATACTGTACCTCTGTGCCGTTTGGAGGTCGTCAGCTTTAAAAATGTAGTAAAGTGTGTTTTTGTGGTAAAGCTTAAAATGTAACTTCTGTGATGAATCCTCTTTCAACACGAACCCTAACAGGGGCTGACTCTCTAATGCTGCAACGTCCTGCATGAAGACACAATAAAAGAGTGTCAGATAAAGATTAAATCAATTCGCTTTACTTTAATTATAACACGACACTGGGATCTTACCTCACTTGCAGCGTACGTGTACAGGACCTTGTCTTTGATAACGAACCACAGCCTCTTCCCCTGCTTTTTGTTCACCTTTGACCTCTGCAGGTACCCACTCATGGAAGAGTTGTCTGTGCTTGCTGTCACCTGAAACAAAACACATCTGATTATATATCAGGTCATTATCACCATCAGTGCATTCTGATCATAACAAAGCATCAATCACCTCTTTGAGAGCTGCAGGGATCTTCTTCTGCTTCCTGTTGAAAGCAAAGGTGGCTTTGTTTCCAGGGGATACAGCTGCTGATTGGGCTTGTTGACCTGATCAAGGTGAAAAATGCAGTGGTTTAATAGATAGAAAAGAGACACAATACCTGTGTTGGTTTAACTGCATCTAATCAACACTGATGCCTCTGTTATAAGGATTTTTAATGATAACGAAGAGCCTGGTACACAGCATTATTAAATCTCCTTATTTATGATCCAGCTACCATCCTATCAGCCCTGTGATATGATAAATCATTTTGTATTGGATCATATTGCATACAATGTCAGAAGAAAGCAAGACTTACTTTTCTGCTGCAGGAGAACATCGATACACTGGTCACACACTCGGGCTAAATGATTCTTTAGGTATTCAAGACAGTATTTGTTGGACGAGCAAGACTGGCACACCACCTGAGGGGATGATTAAGCATAAAATATGTTATTTTTTGCTTGACAGGAATACTTTCCAATCCAATTAAATATCTGCCAGACATAAGGATAATGTCTTTGGTCGTGTGCCTATTTCTTTCGGTGTATCAGCAGCTAATCTTACATACTACAGGTCCATGAGCGCAACCCTTTTGTGGTCATTTATAACTGTATGCTCAGGGATCTTCTCGTGGTTGAGGTAATTCAAAATTGCCAGTAGAGTACTTAGTTTAATTAACTAGCAAAAGGTATCTTTGTTCGACATTTATAGGACATTATCAGATTTAATATGAACCAGAGCATCTGCATATTCATTTTATACCCGGTGGGTTATGATCCACTAAAGTAAGGCACAATACAACTTTAATAAATCCCTGTTTTTGTTATCTTCACCACTTGACTATAAGGGAACCAGGAGGGACAATTGAGTGAGATTCAACTATTAACAAGGGAGAGGGAAACTCTACTGAGTGAACTGTCTAGCTGCATATGATATATATGTTTAACCAGCTACTCTGTTTTTATGAACAGTTTTATAACTGTTAATTGCAGCTCTCATTTATTATAACATTATTTTAGAAACTGCGTTTGATTTTGAAGGGAGACTTTTGTGACCTTACCTTCCCACATGCGCGGCAGTGGTGTCTCCTCCATGTCAGCGTGAACTCACAGGTGCAGATCATACACATGGTGGTCCGCGGGTCAGGGATCCAGATAGGGGCTTTGGATCCCAAAGGAGCACCATCCCTATAGTAGTCCGTCAGCTCTAACTGAGTATAAACAAACAAAGACATTAACTCTCATCACTCTTACATAAACTATAAAGTACTTTGATTTAGATCTCATCAGTATCATAAAGTATACACTGCAAACAGGAAATGTGTTTTCTTACTTCTTCTGGAGGCTTGCCCGATATAAAACTGATCTTCTTCCTGGTGTAGTCACTGATCGCTGTGGAAATAGCCTCGAGCCATTCATCTCGCTCTGTGGCTGAACTGCAGAGAGAAAACAGAGTGTGAATACACGCCTACACAGTACTCACAGACCTATGCACTCAAATAAAGAACACAGGAAGCCTGTTATGAAACAGCACGTTCTTAAATTACCAAGAGATTTCTCTTTTGTTTCTGATCATTACCTTGCTGAGAGAGTGAAGGAGCGCTCCACGCTCTCAATGTTCAGCTCGTTCTGATAGGCCTCTTGGCTTGGTTTGCTAACCTGTAATTAATTTCATTGTGAGAGCAGTGATGGCAGCGTATAACATATAGTGGGATAATAACATATATGTGAATAGATGACGAGTGCAAAGAAATAAGGAGTGAAGTGCTCACCTTCATCCCAGCCAGAGACAACATGTTGTTGAACTTGAACTGGCCGGACTGAGCAGGAGTTGTGTACAGCAGTGTGTCGCTAAACTATAAAGAACATGAGAAAGAAACATTACTTACTTTCTGTCATATCGTCTTTGCTAATACACAGAAGAGCTTAGAGTAAGATTTAGAACATCATGATGAAATTATTGTATAAAAAACATACAAGAGAAAGAAGATATAATGTGTTACTGTACCAGGAAGAACACTCTGGGCTGCATGACCTTTCTCGACAGTTTCTTCAGGATGCCCTCTCTTAGGAAAATCTACAGCAAAAAAACGCCAGAAGGTAAAACATTTTTTAATAACTCACAATGACTTGTAAATTATTTCCTGATATTTATTTATACTTTCCTTTCAAACTAATCTGCCCGACAAAACTGTACAGCTTCTGTAATAGTGCAGTTGTTCTCCTATTGTTATTTCCTGTTCCTTAAAGTAAAATTATTATCTCCCTGGATTTCATTTTGTATTATCCTATTTATTCTGAAAAATACGATTTCATTTATGGTAAAAGGTTTTAGGGTTTAATGTCAATGAAGTGAGGTTCGGAAAAATAAATCAAATATGTGTTGATTTAACAGTTAACATTTAATAGAGCAATACACAATAATTAATACAAAATATAAATCCAAGCTAAAGCTTTATGGTCTTACCCGCCCAGGCTGGACTATTTCATGGTGGCCGTTCAGTCTGCACTGCACCTGGATCAGCTTCTGGAAGTTATCCTGAGAGGGAAAAATAACATTACAAAAACTCACAAGGACATAAACAATCTGTATGGAGCTTTTTATCAACATGTTAATAGAATATTTGTATTTTCCTCACCCCTTGTTTCATGATGTCGTTGGCATGATTGGCCACTTCTTTCACTATGACAAGGGCCGCTGGGTGGATAGAAATGTAAAAAGATGTGCATCAAACACATAACAGACGTTTTTATGTGTTTCTGTTCCTGAAACTATCAGGTGAGTTACAGTACAGATTTAAAAAGGAACTTTGTTTACCTTGTGTGTCCTTGTAATCATCAGAGTCCTCAGACAGGTTTTTCAGATAGTCTGAAACACAAATAGAAGTTAGGTCCAACTCTAAAAATAGAGTTAGGTTCAACATTGAAAAAGACTTTGTATGGGTTATAAGTGCTCAGTCTTGTGTTACATTCCTGGATTATACTCTAAAATTAAAATCGTGGATATAAACGATCTAAAGGTGCTCACGTAACAGAATTATATAGGAGTGAAGTACAAACATTTTTCACATTTTGGTCCCTAGGGATCAACTCTGATCCATTAGACTCATGAAACACTAAGCTCACTCATGTTAAAGCTTGTGTTATGTCACCAAATCTGATTTGGGCTGCACATCAAAAACCTTATTATATGAAGATTGGAGGAGCAGCAAAGAAATTCCAAAGCATTTGTATTTTTCTGGACACCAGAGGGCAGCAAGATGCCAAAAATGAGAAACATCACAAACTATGTTTAGGGGCCCATAACTACAAGGAAGTTAGTTCTAAAGGGATTAATTAGGATTTGCAGATTATGTGTCCAGAAAGTAAACTGAATATGAGCCTGATGCGTAATGAGAATGACTCTTCTGCTGATGTACCTGTGAGCAACATCTGATACTGAGGAATCCTCTGAACAGGTTTCAGGAGGTAATGCTTCAGAGCCAAGTTGGCACACCGTGGACTGGCCTTGGACAGAAAAAATTACAAATATTACAAATTAGATTTTAAAAAGGGACAAACTCTCACTTGCATAAGCAATTAAAGCTCAGTTATGCAACAGTCACTCCCCCTCTGAAGGAGGAAACCGGTTAGCCTCGTTACCTCAAATTCCCGCACCACGGCGCCGAATGCAGGGTTCTTCTTACGCTGCTCTTCCAGTAGAGCCACATTCTTGTCAAACTCACGGATGTATGTGGAGTACATCTTGAGATATGGCCCTTTCTTCAGGAAAATATCTGCTAGCTTAGCATTTTCATCCCTGTAAAATAAGGTAAAATTAGTAATATTTCAACATTATATTTTCAAATGTTTACAATTAAGGTTTATTATTATTTCTCCAATAGTTATTGTACAGAAAAATGAGTTGTTTGGAGAAGTACAAGGACCACTTGTCTAAGCAAAAATAACTAGTATCGCATTTAAAGAATACTCTGTTACAAGTAAAGGTCCTGCATTTTGGTAAAAGTATGCAAGCATCATCAGGAAAGCGTACTTTTAAAAAAAAGTACTCAATACGGAAAAATGTCCTCGGTTACTGTTCTGCTATTTCATATTATATCTATATTGTTACTCCCACATTAGTGGCAGCAGGATTTTATGGTAGTAGTCGGTAGAAGAAATTGAATAGAATAAATTGCTAAATAAATTGCTGATTATATTCTCCACTAACAATAGGTTTTTCGGGTAAAATTTCAGAAAATTGTGAAAAATATCTTAATATGTAAAGCTGTCTCTAGTGAACATTGATAACATGTGTGCATAGGTACAATGCTTGACTAAATATAAATACTCACATTCCCTGCGTAAACATTAAGTCATATCTTTAGTTGAACTACAGCGTCAGAACTATTAAAAACAAATACCAACATTTAGACACAAATATGGGGTCATGGGTTTAAATGTATCTTTGTATAAATAATGTATGTGCATATATAGCTGTTTAAGCCAGTAAACGTGATGAATATGCACAAACATTCAAATATATTATGTACCATTTGGCCACTCTGTGCTTCAGCTCTCTGAGCAGATCCTGGTTCAGTTCATAGAGCTGAGGGAGGTAGTACAGGATCTGGTTGAGAAGACGCTCCTCAATCACAGGCTTCCCACTCTGACGAGACGCCGTGGACGCCGCATCACGGAAGTCCTGCACGTCAGATAATCAAATAAACAGACAGATAAAGAGTCAGCAGGGCATATTCAGGAACTCATCCAGGCAGGAAGAGGAAAACCAGAAGTAAATCTACATGAAGTACTGAAGAAGAACTAAAAACAATAGAGGTTTTAAATCTGTCTGCTCTGCAAATCACATATATCAGTTACCAGAACAACACTACAAAAAGATAAGCTCCAGAGCCATTAAGTATAAAAGATACAGAATATATACGGTTGACTCATGACCGGCACACACATTAAGAATGTGTTAAGATCAACGGTACGGTGAATCAGGAAGAAAGAAACAGGAGAGCAGGAGACCTTGACCCCTCTGCTTCTTTTTCTGATGATGTGGAGGTTTCTTTGTGGTTAATTGGGACACATGGCACATAAAACTGCCAGACTGCGCACCCAGTAGAGCGCTCCTGTGGTTAACATGTGTGATCTGAGGGCGAAGGAGGCGCGTCACGTGAAGTAGGATTTGGCAGGGAATTAGAAAAAAACAGGTGATTCATAAGATAAGAAAAGATTACAATGCAACCATGACTGAATAAGCAGTAAGTGAATATTTCTGAATGGGGACAACAGGGTGGACAAAAGGCTATTGTTCAGTTTGGTTTGATGTTCCCGTCTTCACTTTAGATAAAAGGTTATGTATGGCTTAAAAGCATTATTTTAACTTAGTTTATAAAGCGCTGGTCAGATGGACCATGCCACATATTTACATCGAGCTATAAATCAAAGCCTTTCTTATCTTCGTGTTGCTGGAAAGATGACCTTGTACAGACCATAAGGTTTTCACCTGACCGCAACATTACACACGGCATGGCTGAAAAATACGTCTCTACTGATAACTCAGATAAAAGCTCACAACAAATGTCATGTGGTGCTCTCATTAATCAGTTTGTGAAAAGCTGGCTGAGTGCCTGGTGGGGATGGAGAACAGAAACTAAGTCACCTCTACATTCTTCTGAACTTGGTATGACTGATCCTCATTACTGGACTCTATTCCTCCACAGTCTGCAGAGCACTTCCTGTCTGCGCTCTGCTGCGAGGAGTTCATGACTCAGTCCCATTACAATCCTGTTTGGAGATCTGTGTCTCATAAAACAAACCTCTCATGCCTTCCTGTATCTATGTTTTGAATATGTTTAATCCCCGCTCACATAATTAGAGTAACCAATCAAACCTAAAGATGAGCATAATGTGGTGTATAAATGTGGTAGTGGATCTCCATCACTGGGTGAATACACATTATTTTTTTACTTATGAAAAACACAATCATATTGATTTTTGTCTGAAGGATACAAGTTTATAGTGTACGTATACTGATCTGACAAACAAGCGCAGCAAAGAAACCAGAGCTTTGTATTGGAGTTCTGGTTCCGTTATGGATTACATTTCTTAATCAACAAGCAACAAACAAGTGTAGCGTTACGGTCAGATACCACAGCAGAGGAAAACCATGAGGAATGTGAGCTGTGTGTGTTGGAGACAGTGTTATGCTGCATGGGGTGTGACCCGGTGGCTCATAATCAGACACATATGTAGAATGTGGGCTCACAGTAAACTAGTACTAGATAAAAACATAGAGCCTTTTAAATCTTTTCTCTACACCATGTCCTGTTCCATTTTTCAAAAGATATGAATATTTATGTTTTCAGCCGACTTCAACATTTGTCATGTGGCCCATTCCTGGACTCCTAATAACACTTTTAATGTAAACTGCAAAAATATATACAACAACTCTTTCAATACGGATTTCTATCTCTCACTGCGTTTTAATCAAAACATGTTTACAATCTCTTTGGCTGTATTTTATATAAGTCTAGATGTAATTCTGTTCCCGCTTTGGAATTTTAAAACATTTTATTAATGCAAACATAACGTTTTGTGAGGCAAAAAACACAAATGGATAATGTCTCAGGATACTTACAACATGAAGCAGCTTCAGGACGTCAACAAACCTGGAAAGATTAAGAAAAGTTATAAAAAGATGAGTATTGTTATAGAGAAAAGAGTCTCTTTCCCAAAAAGAAATACATTCTGGCTTATCTAGTGATGTCTAGCTAGCTATGCTGCTAATATGTGTTTATTTGCCAGGGTTTTGAAATGTCCGTCTCCATTCAATACAATTGAGGTGAATACAATTCTGTCAAAGCACAAATAATGTACTAAAAAAACAATTTAAGAAGTCCTCCAGAGCCTATAGCTCACCCTCTTTGACACCCACACAAGCCTGGCACACAACAGGTGGAATAAATACCTTACACCACACCCATGTGATAAGTGCCGTAAGTGACCAATTACAACTGTGTGTGGTGTGAACACATAATGACAGCAAAATAAATAATAGGCGAGAGCTAAATAAGCGTTTTGGCTCCAACACCTAGTAATGATTTTTATTTTATACCAGAGAAATGAAAATGAAACCTATCGATAGCTAAGTATGTTTGGTAACATCCAATTACCCCCGTTGATGAAATTTATATAATATTGTTTTTTTCATATTTGGTTTAACCTTGAAAGAAAAAAATGAAGACTCTTACACACTCTCAGAGCTCATGATTTCTGTGGCGATGTGGTGAATCTTGTTCTTCTTTTGCCCACTCTGCCCCTGACAGAAAGATTCAAAAAACACAGACTTAGAATTCCAATGCACTATAAATAAACCCTGTGTAGTTCATGGCTAAATCTCACACAGATCAATCTGAAACCTTGCAAAGGGCAAACCCTGTGTGAAGATTCCCAAAAACATTTGTGAGTACTTCTAGAGAGTGAAGTCATAAATCTAACTGTGTGCCTCTCACCGTGCTCTCCTCTGCCGGCTCAGCTTCTCCTTTACTGGAGATGGAGCTGCTATCGTCCTCTTCCTCTGAGGTGTTGGCCAAGATTTCATCATCCGAAGGGACGTCGTCCAAGGGCGTCACCTCCTCATCCACAGAGCTTCTGTCAAAGAGGGACAGGATATTAGGGTCAGGGGAGAATAGAGGCAGATGCCAGAGCATGAACACATCACTGTATTGGTGATTAAGACAACGCAGCAGCTGCATGCAGTTATCAAAAACACTGAATCCAGCTGGCTGTCATTCCAATGCTACATGATTAGTTTAAGAAGTACAAGAAAGAGTGGATGCTGTTTATTAAAAAAGGGGGAAAGAGGTGAGGTTTGGAATAAAAGCACATTAATCAAAGAGGAGTGTTTTGAATACAAACATTACATTACTTATCACTTGTTAGACACTTTTATCCAAAGCGATTTACATGAATACTGTGGGCAATCCCCACAGGAGCAATTTGGGGTGGAGTGTCTTGCCCTGGGACACGACGACATGCTGACTAAAGTGGTGGTGCAAACAAAGATCAGTCCAGCAGTATTTGAACAATTCCTGCTCTGATCAAGAGGGAGCCATAAAACGAAAGAAAGGGAGGACCTGACACAACCAGGAAGCAACATTAAATAATAAACTATCAACATGATTCTAGTCTTGTCCATGAGAAACAAAAGGACAGCAAACCACTAACACCCCATATCATACAAAAGCACTGCTTTTAAATGACCACATTTAGACAGCTAAAAGGGGACCAGCACCAAAAAGAAACTGGATATCTCAAATGCCATAAATCCCAGAGGGAGCTCTACATGTGAAACAACGGCCCCTCCCTGAACAAAAGCTGCAGAAAAAGAAATAGGCCGAGGCTGAGCAGCAAACCCAATAAGCCGGACTCTGTAAGTCTTATACACTGTGGTATGTTTACAATGTTACGCTGTTAGTGGTCTCTGTTTGTGAGCTGATCAACGTCCTTAAACATGTGATCGCTGCACAGTTTGAGCTAAAGATTGGCGACACACTAAGCTGTACACCCCCGAGTGTACAGTTACAAACTGTAATCCTATTTTTCTGACTGTTCACTGCTCATTCACAATTCAACAAATGAGGATAATTAGGCGCATTTCTAACTATAATTTAATCATGCTAAGTTTAATTGAGCTAATTAAGCATCAATGGGGTTGTTCTAGACTAGTCGTATAACTTTAACAGGATCAGTTAAATCAAAAATATAATTTCCCAGCTTCCCGAGAGCTACTGTATATCTGGACAAGTAGATATTTTTTTATTTGAAGTGTTGAACATTTGAAACAGAAAAGCTCTTTCATCAGAAGTCTTACTCTTCTTTAGTTGGCCTATTCTTCTTATTTAAAATAGGACTTTAAATGAAACCGTTGACTGAAGGATTTGTGGCTTATGCTAAGAAACATAAATATGCTTTCCAGAAGGACACACTCCTTTTAGGAAATACTTAGTAAAGCATCAAAAATCGTATTTATGAAAAAATCTCAGCGACAGATCCTAAAAAAACGAAAAAAAGAACTGTCTGTCAGGCTATAGCATTGAAAATGTTAGCATGAAGTGTATTTTTCGAAAATGAAACAGGCATCTAAATAATTAGGTTGTCTATCTACAATCCATCAACACCTGAAACGCTGAGCATGTGTGCCACTATACCAGTCAAACTCCCCTGACAGGTATCTCCAACAAAGGCACAAATGTGACGAGCTTCTCCGTAAACTTCCTGGTAAACAAATTATTCACAGTCCCTTTGTGTCATTAACAAGATCTTTTTATCAGCTGATTATTTTAAAGAGGCCAGAGGTGTTGTACCAGAACCAATGGAAATCACTCAACATATTCAGAGATAGGATGTGAAGCACTGAGAGAAACAAGACAGATAAAAGCCATGATAATATACCTCTCAAGGTCTGTTGGCATCTGATACTGCTCAGTGTTTTTCTCAAAGGACATATAAGGCTCCTGCTCCTCATAGATGCCCTCATCATTATACTGCCAGGCTGTAGGCTGTGCAATGGACCCCCGAGGGGATGTGATTTCCGTTCCTACATGCACATTAATGTAGTCTGCTATTTCTTCATATTCAGGTATGTTTTCGTAGTAAATATCCTGTTCTGATCCAGGAGGAAAGTCATCTCCGTCCACGCTTTGCTCTACTCCGATCAGCGGGCAGGAGTTTTTACGCTGAGGGAGATGAGTGTTGTAGTCCTCACATGCATCCAGCTCCCTGTGCACGCTTTGTTCATTATCATTAGCCGAGCTCTGGCCTCCTTTCATCATCTTGGGAAGCATCATCACAGAGAGCTTCAAGTCCAGCAGTCTCCGGAAAGAGTTCCTCTTCTGTCCGTCGGAGCGCAGGAGGTCAGCGCCGGAGAAGGACTTGGATTTCTGTTTGTTAAGGCTGGAGCGAGAAGGCTTCATGATTCCAGGTGTTAGGAATTTTCTGCTGGTCTTCACCACTGGCGGCGCAGGCAGCTCCTTCATCACCCTCTCCTTTAAAACACAATCTTGTAAAGGAAGTGCTTGCCTTTTCTCTTCATCTCCTGATTTCCACTCTTCTTTTTCCTCAGAGGATGCCTTCCTCTGCATCCAAGCCATCGGGCTGCTGTTCCTCTTGGGCTTCTTCGGAGCTACTTTGACCACCTCTGCTGCCACGCTGCTGGCAGGAGGCTGGCTCAGATTGTGCGACTGGCTAGAAGGAGGAATAGGTGTGAAGTCACTGAATACTGACTCCTGATCACGCGTTAGTTCTTTCTCCACCTCTTCATCCTCCTGGTCGACTGACACCTCCATCTCCTGGATGCTGCTGTCCCAGCCCAGGTCTTCCTCCTCCACATCCGTAGGGAGTGTCTGAAGATCATAGGTCGGTGCTTTCTCAGGTGCTGACAGTAAAGGCTTTTTCTTGGGCGGAGGGGCCGGCTGGGCGCAGGCTTTTCTTGCAGAAAGAAATATTGGCGCCTCATTTCCAAAAGGTACACTGACAGACAGTGATGAGCTGCCCTTCCCCTCCGATGACAGCTTCACCTCCCTCCCTTCCTGGCTCACTATCTCCTCACTCTCCTCCACCACCTTTTCCTGACGGGCCAGCCCAGCTGACCTGGGTTTCCGTGGTACAGGGACAGGGATGGGCTTCCTAGAGGCTGCTGGGATTGGTTTTGGCTGGGACACACGAGATATCTCCTCTGAGCCAAGAGCATCTTCCTCTGGTCCTCGCCCAGGTGAACTCTGAGGTAGTGTGTTACCGTTTGCCTCATCGCTCCATGTTCTGTGAGGAAGGGACGGCCTAACAGTCAGAGGTGTTGGTGTCTCTGTTGGACTGGAGGTGTTGATGTCTGTGTTGAGATTTTGGTCCACAGTTTCTTGAAGAGTTTTATGGTTTGTGAGGTGAGTAGTGGTAGCAGTGTTCATCACTTTGCACTTGTCTGTTTTCTCCCTACTCTCATCCACAGAACCTCGAGATGTAGAGACGATCTTCCTGTGTGCTGACGAGTTCCTGCCGCTGCACATGCAGTTCTCCTGGCTGCACAGACAGATCGGAATAATATAATCCCAATCTGGCTTTTTGTTCTGTTGCTGTATTCCATTCTGCGAGTTAAGAAGACCTTCGGTCTGTGGCGTTTCTGTTACAGATGTTTGGAGCAGGCTCTTCGCAGCAAGAGGCTTGGACTCCACATCAGTGGTGAGTTTGGAGAGGCAGGGTTTGGGGGCCACTACCGGTTTAGCCCTCCTCTGTGTGCCAGGAGACGGGAGAGAGAGAACTTCTCTTCTCGGGGTTGCAGGAGACAGTCCTGGCCTCTGGGGCTGGGCCAGCTTCGGTTTGGGGGCCACAGGTGGCTTTTGCATGCCTACAGAGAAAAAACAAAACAAATTCACTTCAGATTTTGTGTACTTTATCTCCTCTGAATTAAAGCCTCTTGTCATCTGAAATACATCGAACAGATTAGGAATCTAACTATATTTGATGCATTTTTGACAGGCTGCCCTAATACAAGGTTCACTCTTAACTCTGCAGCATTGATCCTAACCTAGTGACAGCTTAGTGTTGAACTGCTGTAAAGTACTGGGCCACCTCTCCGGGGGTTCAAATATCAAATGGTTTATGTTTGCCACTCCACACAACAGCACTGTAATCCGGCTAATGGTGTGTGTCTGGGCAGAGGAGGAGGAGGAGGAGCAGATGGGAGATGAAAAGAGGGATAGTAATGGAGGAAGGGGTGCAGGGACTTCCAAAAAAAAGTCATGCAAACTAGCACATCTGGCTGAACCAATGCCCTAAAATTCCTCTGTGGTGAACAGAACAATAACAGCTGATCTGCTGACAGAGAGGGATGTTGGTTTTTCCCCTCTGCACATATTTCCTCATTCAGAAACCCACCACAGGTTAGACACAGCCAACAAAAACTTTTTCAGGAGATTTTACAGTCAACCACTGAAGTATAGAAATTAGTGGGATATGTGCCATATACTATAATACATATCTAAATAAAATCACAGGATTGCCATTTAAATAACTGTACAACACATTGACTTAAATACTTATACACACAGTCTGTTTTAAGTATATGATCTATCTCAAATCGTTTTACACACGGAATTGTTTGTCTGTATGAACCTATTTGAAACAGAAACAAGGGCAGGGGCTGCAGATTAGCTTCAGCTAGAAAGTAAACATTACCACTGTTGAATGTATTCTCCCTGTGTAACACTGTTTAGATGTAATTCCCCCAAGAAATAAATGAAGTAACAGATAAATAAATACATGGTTTTACAATAAATCGACCTGCTTTGATTTGATCTGATCCACTAACAAAACTCTGACCAGAACAATCATCGAGTTTCCGTCGCTTACCTGAGTTAATCATCGCTTCACTCACTTCGTTTCTGTTTTGTCAACTTTTGTTTAATCACTGAAGCGGAAAGAAACCAGCCTTCGTGTCCGGATACATCTCAAGCCGTCGACTCCAAAATAAGTTATCAGTCAAAAAAGCACATTTTCTCCGCTTTTCTTCGAGAAACCCATGTGATCCTGCTGCCCACAGTTCATTCTCCCCGCAGCCGCACTGACTGGCTGCCTAATTAATGCAGAGCTTCCTTTGTTTCCATGAACGATCCAGCAGGGGGCCTCAGTCAGGACACACTGACAGATTGGTGTAGCATTTACTAAATCAGAATTGTCTCATGTGCACATCTATTTACCCTTTTTCTATCTAATATGCATTTTTATTAAATCATCACTACTCAAATGTTCCACCAACGCATCTTTCCACAGACATCATCATTGCTAATTTTAACACAGCAAGTGTGACTATGACACAAGAGACATATGAGTGGGAGCCAGCCAATGCTTTCTAAGCTATATTTGATCAAATTGGGGAAGTAAGACTCAAAATAGATCATTGTATAGGTGGTGCTTTCACCATGCTGTCAGTCTGTCACCAGGATCATAAATCAGTCATATTTACAGGAACAGCTCTGGCTAAGAGGAAATAAGTGATATGAAGGACATCTTGCCAAAGAACATTAGATTAATAAATGTCAAGAGATATTAGATTTATAAAAAAGGAAACACAGTAGTGAGTAGTTTGGCGTTTTCTTTTTATTAAATCTGCTCGTAAAATATTGCAGTGAATGCAGATGTTTGTCATTGATATTTGATGAAAATTAAACCCCAATTGAAATAATAAATCATGCAATGTTTATCTGGATGATAAATCCTGATCCTTGATGCCTGTGTTGGCCTACTTCTCTGTACCAAAATAAATTTAAAAATGTCACATTTCAGGTGCAAGTTATTAGACTAGTCTACTGCATAGTAAACAAATGAGGCTGCAATTTAATAGTACATTAGTAGTGTACTATAATAGTGTTTTAATAACTTAAAGTGGACTGATACAGATGTAATCCCGTCACAGATCATGTTCAGTGTGTGATAACAACACGGGGGAATGCTGGAGTCTTCTTTGCTTTGATACAAAAGTCTCTATGTTGCCGGTTTGATACTTCAGGAACTTTATTGTTTTTTCTGCTTAGAAAGAAGACATTTAACACGTTATTACTTTGTATCATGCGTTAAATAACAGTATATGGACCATCACTATTCATAAGAACACAGCACATGTATTAAATAAAATGTATATCTTGTTGCAGGAATCTCAGTCACTTACTTCTCATTGGCCTTCTGGTTTCTTTCCACTGAAGGAGTCAGTTTTTTGTTATCTGTTGTTTTTATTGTGGAACTTTGGGAGTCGTGTGCATCTGCGGCTGAAGGGGTATCAACTGTATTGCTGCAAGGAAAGGACAGAAAACTATGAAAGTAACTATACTTAGTACCATTTTGAGATACTTCAAATCTTCACTTAAGTGTTTCTATTTGTATTATTTACTAACAAAACATGTAAGTAAATTATATGAATATATATTGTTTACAAATTATGAAAACAATTAAAGCAGTAAACTTAATTTCTGCATGTATAAAATGCATTTTCGTTAAATATTGAACCTTTGCTTTGAATGTCATAATAATCCCTGTACATATATTCCCGTAATATTTAAATGTAACACTTTACATTCACACTGTTTCACTACATTACAGTAAAGATTGAGTTTGATACAGTAGATCAGATTCACACGGGGCGTGTTGCAGTGATACCTGAACTTGTAGTCTGTAGGGAGGCTCACACCTAATCTGTAGTCTCTCCTTGTTCTGGAGATTTGCTTGTGAAGGTCTCTGACTGTGCAGTTGTGACCACTGAATATGAAGCCCACGAACAGCAGCTTCCCTCTGATGTACATCTATCACATGAACAAGCAACATCACATTAGATGTGTGGAAACGGAAAAACAAAACTATGAACACTGCAGTTTTTCATTGTGGGATTTAAAAAGCAGTCTACACTGTATATTTAGAGTATGGAGAAGTGGTTTGCGTCACAATGCTGATTCTCTCTTTTCCAAATGTTCGTCATATCAGTAATGTGGAAATTTGTACTTTTCACAACTGAGGGTCCTAGAGTGTGTGTTCAATGTGTGTAAGACTTAGGTTTTCTGTTTGATTTATGGACTGTAGAGAGGAATTTAATCTTACAGCAAAACTCACTGGAGCAGCTGTCATGACTTTGGGCTAAAAATTAACCAACCTTTTAGTAATTAAGAGGCGCCATCCTTCACTGCTACTTTAATAATAACTGTCTGGGTTTTCTTGGTAAGGACAGTAGCTTACAACATTCCTCCTCACCACATCCCCCTCATACTTTCCCCTCTTCAGCTTCAGGCAAGTACTGCTGCTGCCACCCAGAGGAAACATTGAAACCCTGCACTGAGCTGAGCCTGCAGTGGTTGTACTGACCAGCACCATCCCTGGAGCTGCGTTATGCCGCTGCTGCAGCAGGATGCTCCCCGCAACACAGCTGGGCTTCCCTGTTGACATCTCATACCTCAGCAGGCGAAATGAATCCATCTGGCACTAGATTTAAAACAAAAACCTGTTACTGAGTTTGCTGAAATACATACTTTTCAATACACTTCTGACTGTAGTATGTCTTTCTCTGATCCTCTGTTTTTAGTATGTGCAAAGCAATGTATATTTCACATTTAGTGTACTTGCTGTAGGACTGGATTACAGCAAAGTAAAAGTGATGCACATGCTGCAAATTGGAGACTGTAATGATGTTGGGTTCGCAAAATAGGGTGAAATTGCTGCTTCTTGTGTTGTTGTTATTTTCTGCACCCCCTGCATGTGAGACAGCCCACCTGAGAACAGGGCATGGTTCTGTGCTTGTTCCTCTTCCTGTACAGCAGCTGCAGCACCTCCTGGCCCGGCGCTGCTTGTGTGTTGACGTGTTGAGGTGGAGGAGTCACACACACCACCAGGATCTGTTGACTGTGCGGAGGCTGGCCCATGACGAAGGCATCGTACTCCGGGTCCGTCAGCACTGGCATCAGTGCAGCGCTGCAGCAGCACCGCCTGCGCCCCCCCTCCCCGAGCAGGGCGGCTCTCAGCAGAGCGGGGCACACAGTGAGGGGGGTGGAGGGGGTGAACGATGGTGGGGCAATAGCGGAGGGCTGCAAATCTGCACCGTTTGGAATAAATACTGACCTGGCAGAGTGGGAGTGATAGTGAAGCTGTCATTGTAAATAAACTCTTGCTCTTATAAACTGCAGTTTATGTCAATTTTTATGTGGTCTTACTCAATTTGGATGTTGCCATGAATTTGAAGGGGTCCTATCTGTGTCACAAGACGGGGTTCTTCGTTTGTTTGCTTTTTCCGTGTCCTAAAAACATGCAGATCAAAACAGTGAAATGTTATATTTACATTACATGTTACTTGTTAGACGCTTTAATCCAAAGCCACTTACATACTCAATACTGTGGGCAATCCCCACAGGAGCAATTTGGGGTGAAGTGTCTTGCCCAGGGACACAACGACATGCTGACTGCAGAGGGGTTTGAACCTGTGACCCCCTGACCCGAACACCAACTTACAACCCACTGCACCACACGCTTCCTTATATTATGTATTAGATCATGCAGGACCATCTGTACAGAGCTCAAGCACTTGAGATTGATCAATGAACATTGTGTTTGTGTAACTACAACAAAATCAATAACTAGGTAGGTATAGGTTCTGAATTTGGTTTCATGTATATGTTGCTATGCAGTGGAAGCCAGACAATCTCTGAGCAGACGAGAACATTGTGAAAAAATAACGCCTTTACATTATTAGGATCGCATATAAAAGTGGCACAAATCAGACTTTGGGAACAAAACTATCACGTGATTTGTGCTGTTCAAAACAGATCTGGGCCACATTAGCCCAATAAAGAAATCTGTTTTGAGTCACTTTTGCCTGCAGTGTGAACATAGCCAGCATTTAACTACCAAGTATGGCTCCAGCTTGAAACAGTAAAATAAAGTACATTTAGAATTAAAAGTGTTAGTGTGGTCCCAATGGCAAACATTCTGGTCCTATATTCTCATGTTAAATGTGCACCTGGGCAGCTTGACGTAGCAGTCCAGAGGAGGTCTTTCTGCCGGTGCGGACAGATGTCTTTGTTGCTCCTGTAACTCTTTCCTGCCCTCCTCTGGCCGCACTGCTCTAGCATCTGCCCGCTCAGGTGGGTTCAGAGAGGGCAGAGCCGCTGACTGCACCTCCCTCCTCAGCCTGGTCCTCAGTGGGGCATCTGGCATCCGTTTCATGTCAGGACACTTGATACCTGAAGGAGAGGAAGAGGAAGAGGTCACTCAGAAATGCACACGGACACCGAGTGACACGAGTGACCGTGAACAGGATCCTGATGGGACTATTCAATAATGTTGAGTTTGCAGGATGAGATGATACTGTAAATGTTGTCTTCACTGAATCACTCCTAAACAACCTTACCTTGGATCAGATTGGCTCAAAGAGACTTTTTTTGCACTGCATAGTTTTATAACTCGCGTAAGAACACAATGTTGTTCTCATAAAAGCTATAAATGTACGAACCTATGGCCACTCGGTAATAATCCAGCCAGCCGTCCAGGGTGTTTCGTACTCTCTGCTGAAGCCTCTTCAGCTCCCTGCCAACATGCCCTCCTCTTCTCCACTGTGCTGACGGCTCCTCCAGCCCCTCCACCTCTCCAACCATCTGGAGCACCTCCAGGGAGCACACTGACACCTGCCATACATCATTACTCGCATGGTGGGTTAGAATATATAGAACAACAAAAGGCCTTTAGCCAGCTGTTTTATACAAAGTGACTCAGTGAAATTTCTCAAAATAGATCCTCGGTGTTGTTGTAACACTTGAGTCTATAAAGTTATGTAATGGGAAAGTGTCTGCAGGGAATAAAAAGTGTCTTACAGGTGTTAACATCAGGTTCCTCTTGCTCTCTAGGACCACAACAGGGTTTGTTGTCTTCCTCAACAGCAACAGGTCTTGAGCAGAGTCGGAGGTCAACTTTTCTTCAGTCTGCAAACATGTCTGTTAATACAAGGGTGGCGTTACAGATAGGAGTTTAATCATAAATCCAATATCTGTTAAACATTAATCTTACCGTTTCTCGTGATTTGTTAAGGTTGGACAGGACAGAAAGAGGAAGTTGAACACTTTCGTTGTTGCACCTGAAGCTGAGCATGGCAGAGGTACCACTGAGCAGCCTCACAGAAATTACATCTGACAACTGAAGGAGACAAAAAAAACTGATTTGAAGTTTTCCCTAATCAAATATGATAATTATTTCACGGTTATCTAATAAGCACACTGTTATAAAACCCCTATCCCCTGTCAGAGAAACTTTGTGTTCAGTCATCAGTAGGTCATGCGTCATACCTCTCATGCCCAGTTTCTCAAATGCACTTCTTACAATTGTCTCACACGTCAGGTTCTTTAACTACTCTTGTCACTGACCATATATCCTGTCAGCAGATAAACTTTGGCCTGGTTTTTGTACAACATGAAGCTGTTTGTTCATTGCACAAAGAACATGGATATAATCTATTATACTATTAAATATGTCAGAGGTTGTGTCACTCTTGCACACTGGCTGCACCTGAATTTCAATCTTCTCCTTCAGTGTGCGGTCTTTCTGACAGCTCCACTCCTTAGTGATCTTCCCATGCTGGTCACATATGAATCCACCATCCTGGTCCCACACTGCTGTAATGACAGAGCTGGAGAACAAGTGTAAACATTGTTAAAGTCGTAACACATACATGGTTATAGAAAGGCTGTTGAAAGACTTTCAGCATTTAGGAGAAAAGCCATTTTTTGCTTTCTTTGGGGGAGCCAGATGAGAACATCAATAATAAACAATGGGTGCTAAATATCCTACATTCATAAGATAACTGATCATTTTTTCCAATGTCGGAAGCTCTCTAAGAAAAGCCAGAGAGGATATTATCCTGACATTTTATTTACTTACTCTCAGCAGAGCACCCGTTTCATTTGCTCAGACTGTCTGACATATCAGCACCAAACTCACGTTAGAGGGTTTGTCGCAGCCCCGTTCCCGAACGCTGTGATAGTCGCCAGAATAACGGGACACTCGCTGTCATTGAACACGTTGGTATAGAAGCCTCCACACGGCAAACCTGAGCGACTCTGGCATACGGCGATACAACCAGACGGGTAGCTGAGAGCCCAAGGTCAAGGGTCAAAGGGTACAATGCCTTTCTTGTACGACTACTGGAACTTCTGAATAAACATGACGAGAGAAGGATACTATATGAAGGAGGAGCCGTCGTTGATCCTGTAGTGTAGTTTCTGCCGTGATGGATCCACGGGTTTCATTTCTGGTACCTGCGGCATCCCGTTGACAAGAGCAGCAGGCTGCACCTTTCTCCTCGCCCTCCCATCCTTCAGTTTGACCTTAGCATCACCATAATGACGGAGAATGAGGGGCTTGTTCAGATCCTGCTCAGTTTGTAGTGTTCTATGAAAAGGGGTGATATTTGAATGTTTGAGAACTGGTCTCTCGTCATGTAGCACATAGCAAAAAGAATGACTTCATTTAAAATACAGTAAAGATTACTCCCAACAATTAAGGATTAACTCAACAGATCATTAAAAACCAGAACAGCAGCCCAAGCTAGAATATTCTAGACATACTTTTAGACAAACACTAACGTAAGAGGTGTAATGTTGTTCATCATGTTAATTATGTTAGCGTGATAGAAGGCATTTTAAAATGCACTAATTAGCACTGAATGCAAAGAATAGCTGAGTGGGATGTGCGCAGGATTTTAGTCAGAAGGTTGTGAAGTAAGTTCAATTTCAACGTTATTAGGGCGCCACAAGATAAGTCATGGAAACACCAAAGTTATTACAATCCAGCCTCAGTGGGACATGCATGTGTAATAGTTCTCTTTACCCCCTGCATTTTGTTGAAATTAGCAAGGTCATATCTGGGAATCAAGAATATCTCTGCAAAAGTGTGTTCCAATCCATCTAATAAATGTAAAGACGTGTGACTAGATTAATGAACAGCAGGTGAGATAAAAAGTCAGATGATCACCAGAGTTGTTGAATCATATCTGTCAGTGTAAGTGCATTGAATAGTAATTGAGATATTGCAGTATGGACTGACAGATTGACTGACATTGCTGTCCCTGGAAACATCTGATTATCAGATCACATTATGGAATATGTAACCACTCATTTGACACACATTTGCACACGTTTACATTTGCACACGCATTAGTAAAGGTTAACAACCCACTGGAGACTTCTTGCGGCCTGGAGTCGCTCCACCACCCACTGACAGAGACGGATCTGCTGAGCCTCATCACAGGAGGGCAGCTTCGACTGGATGATCCAACCTGGACACAAATCACATCCAGCTGAGGCAGCAGAGAGACGACCAAAGACACAGCGGCCTTCATGAACACAATGTCTCACCTGGATTACTGCAGCTGTTGGATGAGATGGAGAAACTGACAGTACTGGAGCTGAGAGCTGCGGAGGAAAAACAGATCTTAGTCAGTTTATCAGCTGAGGTCGGATTCACCTTTTCATTGAATCTGTGAAGACAATACTGGCGATACTTCAGTCCCTAACAGTGGCACTAAGGAACTCAATACTGTAACTCAATAGCTCTGTAACTGATTAACAGACAGCAGTACATCTTTACCCAGCTACCTTGTCCTATCTGTTAAACTAATCCCCTCACTTCCACAAGCTTGCAACCCAAGCTGTCCTCACATTCAGTCTTTAAAGGTCATGAGATATTACTTAATGGGTTTTCACTCTCACTGTCATTGTCTCTTTACATTAGAGCCCCAAATATAGTTATGTCTGTTCTGACTTTTCTCAGTTTTACACAATTGTTCCTTTGCAACACTAGCATTTTCTAATAATGCATATTATATAAACTGTTTGGGCTTTAACTAAAGGCACAACAGAGTGTTAAAAAATCATTTATTAAACCTTAAAGGCCATTTGTAAAACATACTCTTGGGTTGCCAGGTTGCATATGCATATCTTTTTAGAGCCTACTTGCTTTGTCAAACTGTTTATTGACACTTACAGCTAAATGTAGTGGAAGAAGAGCCATCATTAATTACTTTCAAATATGTATGCCTGCAGAACTAACATGACATATTACCTTAATCAATGTATTCTTGATTCTAATAGCCCAATTATACTAGTTATTCATATGCAAATGCATAGATTTTGGTCCAGGTGCTGTGCAGCCATTTTTCAGAAATGTCAAATTACGTAGCAGGTGTATGCATTAGGAGGGAGTTTTATTTTACCTGGTTTATCATGAAGGCTTAAATAAATGATCTATTAACCATTATTAAAGATTAATTACTGTGCATGCTAAGCCCTTTTCATGTGAAGGACAGAAACAATTCAAACAAATATTAAATTTGTTTTTTTAATTAGACAGCATATTGTATAGTGAGTTAACAATCTATTGTTGGCTATCTTAAGTGTGGTAGAGATGTACTGTATCTCGTCATACTTTTGACAGTGAGTTTCTTTAGGTATTTCACTTTTCCACAGGTTTTTTTTTTCAGGCAGAGGTGGGCTGTACCCAGAAATATGTTTACCTGTTTTTGAACTGTGTTTACGCTTTTTCATGCGTGGATTTGAGCTGAGTTGTGGTTTTCTCACAGAGGGACCACCATTTTCCACAACACATGAGTTTCTCCCTCCTGCCTCCCTCTTGTCTTCGGCGGACACTTGACTGGATCGAGATTCATCCAGCTTCCCGGAACCTTTGGACTTCCGTATTTCGACGGCCTGCTCCGGACTTTTAAAGTGCACCGTCCCCGCTGTTAGATCCTTCCAGGAGCAATTCAGAATATTTACAATCCCGTGAGGAATACGGCCCTCCTCAGTCCACTTATGTCGTGAAAGCAGGCGAGCCAGGTCATTTAATATCTGAGGGGCTGCTCGCTGGTATGCGTCTCGCATGGGATCCTGGTCCTTTATGTTGAGTGCACCGACAGAGGTATCAGGTTCACCATCTCCACATGTTTCACCTGACAGCCTCTGAGTGAGCTCACCACTTTTACCTTCTGTGTTGTCATCTGGATGACTGTGGGAAAATGAGAAAAAAGTATTTCATCGCACAAGAAGAAGGTTAAAAGACTGCGCATAGCAATAAGGGACTTTGATTACCTTGCTTCTTCACGTGCCAAATTAAAATGCAAAATGTTGCTTCGTGCCCCTTTAATTCGGTTTCGTTTTGTTGGCTGCGGAGAGATCAGTTGCGAGGTTAATTTCTTGCTGATTCTTATAAACTGTAGTCAGCTAAATTAATAATTTCCTCACCTGGTCAAAGAAGTACAAAGGGCCACATCTGAATTCTGTCAGCCCAACAGAATAAGTCATTATTTCTTTCTTTCTTTTTTTTAAATCCACTTAAATGTCCTTAAAATGATCGTCAAACGCAGAATAGGCACACAAACATCCATAAGTTTAGTGCTTTAAAATCCACCTCCACTGCTGTCAATGTGCCTCAGTCCACTCTTTGTGCTGGGCTTGTTGCTTGGTTACACAGTTATACGCCTCTCCAAATATTCGCGATACGCACCATTAATCGACTCCGGGCATCAAACAGAAAGTTAATCTGTGACAAAACAAAAAACCAAAAACATTATTGACAAGAAAAATAAGCTGTTTTCCATTGGGAACACACGGGAGAAGTGACACACAAGTCGAGGAGCTGCAGGGGCGCACAGTAACCTGAAACTCATCGCTAGACAAAGTGATGATTCTGGCAGTGCAGCTTTTACAGGCCATTTATCAGGGCATGATGGCACCATAACTAAGCATTTCACCCTCCACAGAGCACATTGTGTTGCTGTCCCAAAATGTAATTCCCCCTGCAGGAAGAAGAAAAAAAAATCTCATGATAAATGAAAGTTTTTGCTCTTCGTGACAGAGCAGGATCGTCTTCCCACTCGGGTCAAGTTGTTGCGCGGAGATTGTCTAATGGCTCATTATTGGCTCAGCTTCCTCCTGCACACTTTTCCGCTTTGACCACTGGAGGCTCTCAGCAGTTTATGCGTCACTTCACCTCTCAGTCGCTGATCATGGCGGAGCTACAGCTCCAGCGTGAAGTGGAGCCTCAACTTCTCAATGGGGACGATCTGAACGAGGAGAGAAAAGATGCAGACGCGTCAGAATCCGTGAAGAAGAGGAGAAGAAAGAAGAAGAGGAATAAAACCCCAGCACCAGGTGAGAGGCATCACTTTGCGATTGGAGGATGCTTTGAGAAAATAGCGCAGAAATTGTCTCCTCTAGTGCCACTCGATAAAGAGTACGAGTGTATCAAATATGCGGGACAGGAGACTTTCCAACCTGTCAGATGGGACTCCTGTCCAGCTGTCCCAACTCAACTAGACGCGGGACAGTCTCTGGAAAATATGAAATTACCATCGAAGCTGAGTGAAAGCTGTCATTTGAAGATATGGGTGGAATCAAATGTAATTTTACTCCAGATTAAATATGTTCCATCCTATAAATCCCCCTAAGCTGCATGAAATGATGTAATATCCACAGTTTTAGTGCAAAAAGATGACAACCACTCAAATGCAAAAAAAGCGTGATGATAATTTCATGATATGAAAAGAAAAATCTAAGAAAACCTAAGTTTGTTGAGCCTGCCATAAGTCAAGTGCTGTCCACAGAGCTCTGTCTCTGAAGGGCTAAATGTCATAATGCTGCAAGGTACAAATGCCCTTGAGGATATTGACTCTCAGGGTAAAGAAATAAATTATGCACAGACCCTGCCAAGTTGTGGATGCACTTTTTTGAAATCACTCTGAAGCGCAAATGATTTACTTACTCAGTGTGTGTGTGTGTGTGTGTGTGTGTGTGTGTGTGTGTGTGTGTGTGTGTGTGTATCTTAATGCATGTGCATGATTGCCGATGGTCTTCACGCACGTGTTGACCTGCACATGCATGCATGCGGGTGTGTGACTTTGCAGCAGGGACGAATGAAGCTGAGGGCGATGGAGAAGCTGGAAGTGTTGGGGATGTGACAAAACACATGGAGCAGCAGTCACTGGAGGACAAAGAGAGGGAGGAGGATGGAGAAGAAGGTAACTCCTCCTCACCATCATCTTCCTCATCATCTGCAGCGGAGATTGTGTTGAACTTTAAGACCCTGATCGTGCTCAGTGAAATTCAACGTGTTACATCTGCAATGTGATATCTGATTTTCAGTAGCACACTGGGGATTGCGCCTAAGCTCCTGTCGATATTTCTCACGTTGCAAAACTGTATTGAAACTAATGATGCGTTCAACAGATGGGGAAGAAGGAGAGAACTCAGCTGGAAAACGGAAGAAGAAGAAGAAAAAGAAGAAAGGATGTAAGCCGTTTACTTCTCAGTGCACCAAATGCATCTCTCGCTACAGATTGCTTATTGGCAAGGACTGCTTGAACCAAATTCACATTAGCTACGCTCAGGATTTTAATTGAAACTGCAGTTTACATCTCATTTTATAGATACACAAATAACACTCTAACAGCAAAAGCTCTTCTGTGTTTTTTTCTACATCACTTTCAACTATTAGGTAAATACAACAGGTGTATAAAAGCAGGTTGACTTTTTTTAATTAGTGTTGTGAGAGACACATAATGTAGGACAGAGAGGGCAGGTGTAGGACAAAAGAACAGAGGACCTTATATATGTCAGGCAGACAGAAGAAAATTAATGACATCACAATCAGTAAATGCCAGTCTCACAGTGTGGAGTGAGCAAACTGAAAGTAAGTCACCCCCGTAACATGTCATATAACCCACTATAGGACACACATGCTTTTATATTGCCACAGATTTGTCTCGCTTTATGATTAAATAGGTTTATTTTACTCAGGGGTGCCCCGCTTGATTAGATCTGTAAGGCAGGAGCTGCACTGAATTCTCTCACTAGGCTCAAATGCAGAAGTCATGAACATTTGGAGGATAACTTGTATTTTCTTTTCTCTCTTTGTGGTTGCTTTCCTCTGCTTCTCCTTCTCACTATCTGGGTTACAGTGAAGGGACAGACTGACCCTCCCTCAATCCCTATTTGTGAGCTGTTTCCCAGCGGAGGCTTTCCAAAGGGAGAGGAGTGTGAATATCCACCATCGAAAGACGGGTGTGTGACCTCCACATCGTCCCTCACACTCAGCAGTAGTCTTCCACTGTGTGACATGCCTAGTTTTTTTTATTTAGGTCTCTCTGCTTTGCACTCATTCATGTTTGGACAGCGTAATTAGGTGCAATGTTCAGTGTGTGCTTTAATCTCCTGTTCTGGAGCTAACTCATTTGTCAGATCTGCAAAGTATCAACACGACTTTCACCTGTCGTGTGTCGTATTCTCATTACTCGTATTTGTATAATGAGAAAATAATGAGTTCCTCCTCTCTGTGGTGTGCTTGTCTACCCCCCACCAGGCGCAGTGCAGCGTGGCGGACCACCAGTGAGGAGAAGCGGGCGCTGGACATGGCCAACGAGGAGATGTGGAGTGATTTCAGGGAGGCAGCCGAGGCGCATCGGCAGGTCCGCTCCTATGTTAATAGCTGGATCAAACCAGGGATGACCATGATTGACATCTGGTGAGATATGTGCTGAAGCGTTGACCTTGAGCCCCTTTTAATGGAGTTTAATGTTGGCTGCTTATACCTGCCTTGGCTCAGTTGAGACGTTTTAATTTGGCTTTAAGTCCAATTATTCTTATTTATTTATTTTATAATTGCTTTTTCAGTCCTGTGTTTATCGACTTATGTTGGTATTAAGTGTTTTTAACACTCACAAAGTCTGTTTATAACCTTGGAAGTGGGGTTAGTATATGTGTTTTTATGTTTTTGGATTTAGAAGCACTTGATGTTTTCTGTATGAAAAGTGCTTCATAAATTAACTTTGATTTGATTTGAAATTGATTCAGGTTTCAGCACTTCTTTGTCCCAGTCTGTTTTAAATGTTTCAAGGCTTTTATTGTCATTTGTGCATAGCTACAGTGTAGCTATGACAATGACAATCTTAGGTCACAGGCTCCTCCCACAGGGCAACACAATAAAACAGACACAATAGTACAGGTAAATAAAATAAAATAGAATATAATAGAAAGTGCGGATGCATCAAAGCAAGCATGATTAATTCTGTGGCTTCATCCTTTTCTTCTGCATGCATTATCTGCTCTCAAAACAGTCTCATTGTTTCTGTCCTCCATTGTCCCCATTTCTGTTTCTGGGCAGTGAGAAGCTGGAGAACTGCTCCAGGACGCTCATCAAAGAAAATGGGCTAAAAGCAGGTCTGGCCTTCCCCACCGGCTGCTCCATCAACCACTGTGCTGCCCACTACACCCCCAACGCAGGAGACCCCACGGTGCTGCGTTACGACGACGTCTGCAAAATCGACTTTGGGACGCACATCAACGGCAAGCGCTCGCTAATAACTTTTTAAGTGCTTTAGGAGTTCTGCTGTGCCATTTCACACTTGGCATTTATTATGAAACGGTGAAATGATGATTACATTATAATTATTTCTTCCTGGAAAGTGCGGTTCTTGTAAGTTAATTAACTTTTTTCAGATCAAGACATGATGAATTTTCCTGCAGTGATAACCTCATTGGAACTGACTGAAGTTTTTGGTCTTTCAGGTCGAATAATAGACTGTGCCTTCACCGTCACCTTTAATCCAAAGTTTGACAGGCTGCTGGAGGCTGTGAGAGACGCAACTAACACCGGCATTAAGGTGATACAGCTCTTCCTCCTTCCCCAATTCTAACATTCTAACTTCCTAACAGTTAAACCTATAAAATAATGCCATAATAGAGTATTTGGGTATATTTGGCTCTAATGCTGGATTCCCAGTAACAACTAAGTTTCTGAATCTGGCTTTATGTGACACAAAAATGCAGAGTAAGTTAAATATAATATAATTGTAATGATCTTATACATACTGTAAACAACAAAGGTATTTTTGGTCAAGATAAGACTGTAAAAATGTTATAATAAAGAAAAAATCAGGTACAGTATATTTAGTAGATTATCTGAATAAATACAGGCATTAAATTGCATGAAAAACACTGAAAATATGATAAACAGTCAAAATAAATAAATGTACATACTACTAGGGGAACATACATAGATAGTTGTAAACATTTTGAGTAAGCAATGTATGCCATATGGAAAATGAAAAGGAGATAAAATGTACAGCTTATGCAACCAGAAACTACAAAGTGTATTGAGACCCTTAATTATAACTAAGAGAAGGGAAGTAATAAATCATGACATTTTATTAACATGGTTCAGAGTTCAGGAATGATGCGTTATGTTAATCATTCTAGAAAATCATCATTAGATAAGAGTTAATTAACATAGTGGCTATACCTAAAACTATCATATGTTTTAATCTAGTCCTTGATTTTCAGGTATTTAGGAATTACCATTTGTGAATGTATGAGCAGGGTTCCTCATTTGGGTCTCGGGAGTTTGTGTACTAAACTGTTAAGTGTTTCCACGCTTCCTATAAATAGGACACATCACATTTACTATCCAGACTGAGTGTGTGTGAGCATTGTAATGACGACGTGTATTGATGCGAGAGTAAACACCTCTCTGTCAGTTTGCAGGGATTGATGTGCGCCTGTGCGATGTCGGCGAGACCATTCAGGAGGTCATGGAGTCTTACGAGGTGGAGATAGATGGGAAAACATATCAAGGTAACGCGAGGTCGTTCGTCATCTTTTATCTTGCACACGTCCAGCGCTGCTTCCTATTTATTAAACCTCTGGGTGCTGTTCTCTTTCTAGTAAAGCCAATCAGGAATCTCAATGGCCACTCTATCGGACAGTACAGGATACACTCAGGGAAGACGGTCCCTATTGTGAAAGGCGGAGAAGCCACGAGGATGGAGGTTTGTGCAGCAGCGAATACGAACCCACTCAAAATGTGATTACATCCGAGCCAAATGTGGATGTGACCAGATTCAGGAGCAGAAAACAGCACTGCAGAACCTTTTTGCTGGAGTGTGTGAAATTAAACCTTTATTAGCTGCTTGACCTTGCACATAAATAAACCCTTTTTAAGTCTGAAGTGTAATTGGAAGAACATGTGGCTGGTTAGGGTTACGACGGCGGGGTGTAAGAGAAGTGTTCCAACTCACTGCTCTAACAGCTTCTTAGTCACCCGAGTCAGCACTTTAATTACAACTTTAATGGAATTACCAGCCGCATCGAGTAGCAACACGTAACCCTTACTTCATCTCAAGAGTCGTGGGCATCTAGTGTTCATTATCGTACTCTATCAAGGAGAAACATGCTTTTGCACTATCTCACATTTCCTCAGTGCGATCACCGCCTGCCTCACACTCGCACAGCTGCAGTAGTATTTGGAGAGAACTGAGCATTTTAATTGGCAAGTCGCTGAGTCAAGCATTTTACCTGATGGTTGCAGGAGGGGGTTGCTGCTGATGTGGCAGCTTTACGTGTTGTATTTTTTAGCTGAAGTGTGTTGGTGTAACAGAGCCCTTACCCTCTTTGTGATCAGAGAGCAGCTGGGCGTGCCACGGGGCCGCTGGCTCTTTGACTGATTATCGGTGCATCGAGAGAGGGTGTCGCAGTGTTATCAGCTAATACCACAGGGACTCCGACAACAGCCACGCGCTGATAGAGATACAAAACGCCAATGAAACCGAGTCAATCAACTCGCAGGAGGCGCTGCGCCACACAGGACCCTGCTACTCTTAATAGACTCCACATGAATATGTCAGCCTCTGGCTTCTTGAGGCTTTTATTACATTTACTCTGTCCCCTGGGGTTTTTTGTCCTTTCTGCAACATCATACCCTCTCAGCCCGGTATAAAAGTGCATCGATACAAATATAAACATTCATATTAGTTCAACATGTCACCAAATAAAGTGTTTTGCCTTTCTTTTTGTTGCTTCCTAGGAAGGTGAAGCTTACGCCATTGAGACATTTGGCAGCACAGGAAGAGGTGCAGTCCACGATGACATGGAGTGCTCGCATTATATGAAAAACTTCAACATTGGACATGTACCAATCAGGTTGGTTCTGCTGTATTAATATAAACAAAATTGAGAAAGTGTTTTGGTTAATTTGCTCTTCATATTCTGTCTTCTAATCCATATTTCTAACAAAATAGACTGAGCATACAGTCTTGTTTACATCAATAGCCAGTCTCCGGCTTGTCTCTCTAATGACTGTGTTGTTACTGCGCCGCAGACTTCCAAGGGCTAAACATCTGCTGAATGTGATCAATGAGAACTTTGGCACTCTGGCATTCTGCCGCCGCTGGCTGGACCGCCTGGGTGAGAGCAAGTACCTGATGGCGTTGAAGAATCTGTGTGACCTTGGCATCATAGACCCGTACCCTCCGCTCTGCGACATCAAGGGCAGCTACACGGCGCAGTACGAGCACACCATCCTACTCAGGCCCACCTGCAAGGAGGTAGTGAGCCGGGGGGACGACTACTAAGCATGCGCCAAACCTGAAGGAGAAGCAGGAGGAGACAAGAAACCTCTGCAGACCGATCGCAATTATGCAATATTTCTCTGATCTAAATTACTACTGCTTTAGTACCTTTAAGTCATTATTCAAGCAAGAGCGAAACGATTTGGGTCCTGGTAGAAGCTTAATAGTAGTTACTTTTCAAATGATTGAGGCAAAAGACAAAGGGCATATCTTTAAGAAATGTAGTGTTGTCATTTAGGCCATATTTTGATGCTTTTAGGATGTATGCAAAAGTTATATATGCAAAACAAACATGCAAAAAAGGTTTTGGTGAATAACTCACCTGAAAATGTTTTGCTTCATTACCATGTGAGGAGCAATGACATTTATATATTTCTTTGCTCCATTTTAATTTAATGCAGTTTTTATAAGAAATAAATTGTTATCAAACTTGAATCGATTACTGTGTTTGCATATTTATAAGTACTAAAGTTTAGAGTGCAGCATGCTTAATTACATAACCAGCAATATCTGATGTTGTAGGAGGTGTATTTCTCTCTTTTAACCAAAGGAGGGCGGTACTAAAACATGGTTCAATCACCAGTCAGCCACTTGTACTCATACAAATATTACAGTAAGTTACATCAAGATTTTCTTGTCTTGTGCTTAATTGTAAGTCGTCATGGAAAGTAAACAAACCTTTTCCCAGAAGCATTAAGAATGAGCACACTGATGTGTTATTTATGCAGCTTAGAGGACAAAAATAAGAACATATAATAAACAGGAAGAGCATTAAAAATATCACATAACAGCAAAGTACATTCACGCCCCCTGAATCACCACTTTGTCCTTTACAAGGAAATCTCCAGCCCATTTCTCTTATTTTGGTAAGGTCTTTGGGACAAGGACACGGGCGTTGATGTCATGTTTGAGGAATGCTTCATGTCTCCTCACAGAGTTTGTCCTTCTCCTTGGAGACAGCGGACCCGACCTATTCTTAACTGGGGCCTGGCTCAAAAAATGGCCTGTGGACTCTGCATCCGATGAACTGTGATGTCAATGAATACCCAGGCTTTTAATACACATTGATCTAGGAGCAGAGGAAGTCACAGGAGGAGAAATGCTTAAAGAGTGTGTGTTCTCTTTCTCACACACACACATTGGTTCAGATAGGGTTCAGAGAGTCCATCTGAAGTGAATCCTCAAATGGTAAGTAGGAGAGGAGAAAATCCTCACAGAATCAAGTCTGACTGAAGCAACCTGACAATCACACACTCTCGTAAGCGAACCTGCTGAGAGGGCAAACTAAATCCAGAGTGTTAGCCGGCTGCATGTACTCCAGACAGGAGAGGGTGGAGCGCAGTGTGTGTTGCTCTTGTCAGACAGCAGTCGGGCAAGTTTGCCAGAGCAGAGCGGCTCAGATTAAGCCGCCTGATTCCTTTAATGTTTTTTCATCCTCTCCCCTCATCCAGGATTTACTTGTTCTGACCTGCACAGTCCCAGACTCCTGCCAAGGACATCGAGCACATCCACACACAATCTGGTGTTGACTTCATTCATGATTTATCGCCAATAACAGTGAGGCGACAAAGATAATTCAGTCCGCTCCTTTGCAAGATATCAGAGTAAACAGCTCTAAATTGAATTGATACAGGAGGGCATGACTGACTCATCAATTCTGACAGCAACACTGGCCCGGAAATAAAGTGAGTAATTGAGTTTTTAACACGCTTACTGTTAATTAAATAACCTGGAAAAATATAATACAGTAATAAAACACATTGTCTTTGTTAAGGTGAAAGTCTTTATGGCTTGCTTTGTTCTCTTTGACTCTTAGGTGACTGTAGTCGAGGTATGTGCTGATTTCTACCACAGGCACTTTGGCGTTGTAGCTGTTTCTCGGGGCTTTGAACTCCCCTTTAGAAACAGAAGAAACTGTGAAACCCCCTGTAGTAGGCATGGGGTTTTGTTTGCTTTCTATTTAGTGTCAAAGTAATGCCTAATAGGAACAGTCCCTCTGTTCATTCTGCACACCGTATGTCGCAGATTATCCTCACTGTCTCCATCCCGCTGCAGTTCTACCGACGGCCGCAGTATTTTCCGAGGATGTGGAGGATTTTGCGTCCCAGGGTTGCTTTCCACGGTTTAACCAAGCTCTTTGTGTTGATCATCAGTCGGCCCGTCTTCCAGTCCTCATGACCAGCCACTACATACTCAGAATCTGGAGGAGAGACAGAGTATGAGCTTTATAGAGCTTTAACTAAGATACACTGAACAGTAGGGATGTAACGATACCAACACGGTACGAGAATATCGCGATAAAAAGTCCACGGTACGATATTTATTGCGATATTGAAAAATAAAGGGAAAACAATGTGAATTTTTTTTTATCTTGAATTATTTTTCTTTATTAAATAATAAATCTGATTTGTACAGCTTTTTAGTAGGATAGTAGTATTTTAAAGTGTCAACAATATAATAAACTTGAAAAACTAAAGTGAAACTTGATTTATTCTATTGCAGGGTCTGATTATTATATTGTTGACACTTTAAAATACTACTATCCTACTAAAAAGCTGTACAAATCAGATTTATTATTTAATAAAGAAAAATAATTCAAGATAAAAAAAAATTCACATTGTTTTCCCTTTATTTTTCCAATATCGCAATAAATATCGTACCGTGGACTTTTTATCGCGATATTCTCGTACCGTGTTGGTATCGTTTCATCCCTACTGTTCAGTGTATCTTAGTTAAAGCTCAATAAAGCTCATACTCTGTCTCTCCT